GAGCATTTCTCCTCAGCTCCCCACCACCCCGCTGTGTTTTCACAGTTTACAGTGAAATAACAGATTAACTACTTGAGCAATTTACCAAAGGTTGCTCAAATCATGTCATAAATACATCTGTCCAGGTCCAGCGAGGGTTTATGACACCTGACACACAGAGCCCAATCCGGGTGCTGAAAAGCCAGCAACAACAACAACAAAAGAAGTGAGATCTCCTCATTCGGCACCGCGCTCCCCTCGGACCTTCCCAGAGCTGACTGGCGCCCAGCGCCCGGCCCCCAAAGCCCGACTGAACCCCCTGCCCCGCCGCTGCCCGCCCTGCCCGCTGCCCCAGGCAGCACGTGTCCCGCCGTGGCCGGGGCTCCCACCTGAAGAAAAGTTTGGAGAAGATGTTCGCCTTCTCCAGGGGGGACCTCTGCATGGTGCCCGGTGCGGAGCGGTGCGGAGCGGTGCGGAGCGCGGGGCACCAGCGGCAGCCGCTAGTCGCTGACACCTCTCTCGTTCACCCGCTCCGCTCCCGCGGCTCTCCCACCTTATCCGCTCGGCCCGCTCCTCTGTCCCCGCCTGCCGCTGCCCCTGCCCCTCTCCACGCCTCTGCGGTGCCCAGGTTCAAAAGCGGGAGGGCTGGGGCCCCGGTAGCGCGCTGCCGCCGCCGCCTCCGCCGTTGCCCCCCCCCGGCACCGCGCCCCGGGCGCGCCCCGCGGCTCCCCCCGCTTCCCCTCGCTGCCGCCCTCTCCGCCCTAGCTCCCCGCCGGCTCCCGGCCAGCCCGTTAACTCCACCTGCCGACTCCGCTCAGCGAGGCACCTCACGGCGGGTCCCCAGTCTGCCCCCAGCACTGAGCCCCTCGCCAGAACGGGGGCCGTGGGGCAGAAGCCGCCGCTCCAGACGCACCACCCGCCGCCGCTGCGGGGCAAGGGGACAGCGCAGAGCCGAGAGCCGAGGAGCCCCGCTGGGGGACGGAGCACCCTCGGCCCCTCGAGCGAGCAGTTCCCTGCGGCCGAGCCCGCCCCAGTTCACCGACAGCCAGCTGGCAACCTCCGGGGCCCGGAGCAAGGTTTAACGGGCACCTAGGACCAAGCCAGGAGTCCCCGGACCCCCACGTGCTCCCCGGCTGCCCCTACACCTTTGCGCACCCCCTCGGGGCAGGGGCGGGCGGTAAGCCCGGGGGAGAGCACCTGTGCACGGCAAGGGCCGTCATACTCCCTGCAAAATACACCTATCTCAGTTTTGTGAGTTTTCTGTCAGACACCCTACCTGGGCCGAGGGAAATGGGGACTGGAGGTGCATCCTTAAGAAGTTTAGCCCAAACACCCAGGTTTAACACTAAAGCTGTTTCTGAAGCATTATACACACGCTGCACAAACAAAATCACTGCTTTCGGAGTGCACAGCAGAAAGCATGCTGAAGACAAGGATGACAATAAGCCGGAAAAAAAAAAAAAAAAGAAAAAAAAACCTTGTGATTTAATTCTGTATAAGACAATTTTATTTAATGCTTTATTATGATATTTACAGACTCCAGTTTCCTTTCACTTTTGCAACCTAAAAAAACACGGATGGAAAAGTTCACGATCTTCTGGGCACGCAGCCGTCCCCTCTCAGCTGGTCTGTAAAGGGGCAAACGCGCTTCTCTACGGACTTAGAGACCACGCTACAGTTTAACCAGCTGGTCCTCTGCAAACTTCGCAGACGTTTTTGTATTTCTCCGCCTCCCGCTACACCCCGCTGTGTTTTCCTCAAGAATTTCTCTGCCTTGGCAATCCTCCCTCGCTGACTGTGGATAGCCAACAAGTGCCGTCTTACCCTGTCACCGCACCGGCTCCTTTGTGTCTCAGACCTCCCTCGGATCCTTCCCGATTCTGCTTTATTAATGACAAAACCAGCAAGAGACGGGGGCAGGGAGGACTCCAGGAAACTGTCCGCGCTCTACCGTGCCCTCAGACAATACAGCGCGGAGAGGCAGGGCCGAGTCCGGCCGCGCTCCACCGCAGCGGTGTGCAGCCCTTCCGCATCCGCCACCTAGCGGAGCCCGGCCTGGAGCACCCGCACCGCACCGCACCGCACCGCACCGCACCGCGCACCGTACGCTGGCCTTCAGGAGAAGCTGGGAGCATTCCCTTCGGGCGTTTGGTGCCGGTCCCGCCAAGAAGGCACCTGCCGCCGTTCCCTGACACGGCTGGTTGGTGCCGAGGATGCTCAAGTAGGAACTCGGATCAGGATTCTGACCCCTCTTTCTGCTAGAGCTGGGGCAAGGTCGTGATCCCACATGCTCTATCCGCCTCTGAAAGAAGCTCTCTGGCAGTAGGCTGTGGCATACAAATCATGGAATCACAGAACCACAGAACCACAGAGTGGTTAGGGTTGGAAGGGACCTTGAAGATCGGCTAGTTCCAACCCCCTGGCACAGGCAGGGACACCTTCCACAAGACCAGGCTGCTCAAAGTCCCATCCAACCTGACCTTGAACACTTCCAGGGGTGGGGAACCCACAACTCCTCTTACATCACCTAAGTCTCCAAAATTCTTTCACACCATTAGGAAATGGTGAAACACTAATTTAAAGACAGACTGGAAACTGACTCTTCTGAGCAATAAATACCCCCACACACAGCCCCCCACACCCCCCGTACTATGGGCTTTTTCTCTTTCTGGCCTTTGGACCTCTGGTGCAGGTGAATAAAGCAGGAGCTGAGCACAGGATTAGACTTTTTAGTAGTTTACATTAGAAAGTGAAGTATGTTAGTCATTTAAAACCTTCTGTGGATCTGGTCCAAACTGCTTCAAATGTCAATGTCTAATGGAGCATTTTTCATATCAGTATCTCCCTGAGCTGACTTACAAGCATTTTTAGCAGATTTGGGACTAACAAAGACATCCCATCAGTCACTGCTGATTATGTAATTTTTTCCCTGAAAATTCCACCACCTTTAATACGCCAAGTTCTCCAGATCTGTAATTTTTAACATTTCTTCTCTACACTTAGCATATTTCTTTGCCAACTTCCTTAAGTACCAGCTATGGCTAAGCTCAGCACCACCAGAACCCAGGGAGTGATTTTTCTCCTGCTCTGTGATCCAATAGTTTTGCAAATAACTCAGCTACTTTCACATGAACACACACACACACGCACCCCCCAGTCACAAACTCCTAATTAGTTGCATTTTACATAATTATTTCTTGTCATTTTTCTCAACTGTTTCCACTCGTACATCTCCTTGCCCCGGTTTCTTAAACTGAACATTTTGTCGTTTCAGAGATACTGTTCTTCCTAATCTTCTCGGAGATCGTGAACATACTCAGCTGACATGAATGCAAAACCTATCGTTAGCATTACTGTGAGTAGGAATAAACCGTAATATTTCTGTTCTCTCCAGAGACTGGACCTCCAATTTCAGAATTACCTATGAATTTCATTTACATTATTTTCTTTCACTTCCACAGACATGCAGCCTGCTATGACAACAGCCACATTATCCTTTAACTGTGCCCACACTTACCATCTATCTAACTTTCTGAGGAAAATGTGGTGAGGCTGAGTTAGAGCCAACGGCATGAGAGCAGAACAAGTACAGACTGGTTACCCGTGTCCTCACTGCAGGAACTCTGACTACTGCACTTGCATGAGGGTACTTCAACCCGGTGAGATCCAGCATGCTGCGCTCAGCCTGAAGCCGCACGTGTGGGAAACAGGCTGGCTGGTTAGATGCTTTCATGTTCACAGCATCTCTAAGTCATTCTTACCCTGGCCTCCCTCATGCCCTTGGGGACACATTCACATTCCCCTCCAGGACCACCAGATTGCATGAAAATCTCCTTAAAGTCTAGCTGAAATCAGTGTGGTATATGAACTTGGAGAAAGGAAACTCACTTAGTGATGGTGCTACAGGAGCTAAGGATACGCACCGTATGGTATGGGGCAGGGCAGGAGAAAGGGCAGGGGGAAGACTGGCTTTACCTGTCATGGAGTCACCAGTGAAATTCTGCAATCCTTTTTCTAGGTACAGCAACACAATAGGTCTCTGGGGATTTTTTGTTTGTTTATTTTATCCAGCTACTGATTTTCAAGAAGGGTAGAAAAAATTAATTACATTTGAATCTTTGATTAGCTAATTTCAATGGACAAAGGGGTAGAAATTATTAGTAGAAAGAGAAAGCATGATCATTTTAAATACCATCTCCTTAGAAAATGAAGCTAAGTAGCTGCCAAAGTTAACACTTCAAGTCACTGGTGGTTTTTTTTTGTTGTTGTTGTTATTGTTGTTTTGGGTTAAAAACTCACTGTTTTGTTCAGTCTCACAATCCCCATCTTCTGAAAACTTCATTCTTTAAAATAGCCCTGACAAAAAACAAGCAAACATACAAATGGTCCTTTGCTTGCAGGGACATGGAGAGAGAAAACAGGTATCAAGATGAAGTTCATTTTCTTTGTTATGAAGTTGAAGCAACCAGACCTGTCAATCAAATTACTAACCAAATCCTCATTTTTTTTCCCCTAATCTTTTAATTGACTGTAAACTACTTCGGTTGCAACGTTTTATTCAACCCAAAAGCAGAATGGTCTATTCTCCACATTTCTTTTTAGTAAAAGCAGAGAAGTTGCTCCACAAACCTGACAATGGCCTTTCCCCAAAGGTTCCCTGTGACCAACAGGACTCCAGTACACCTGGGCTTCACTTCCTCATACCAAGTGATTTAAATAATGGTGGGAGGTCTTGCTTCAAATCCTTTTAGATGAATAACCTTAAGAAGTGGGTAAGGTATAGCTCCTCAATATCACATGTGAGATGGTGTAACTTCATCTAACTATTCATCCAGCTATTCTTGGGAGCAGCAAAAGCTGGCTGGCCAGCTTTCCATATGGTAGGGCTTTACCCTACAGCTTTCATTTACAAAAAAATGATTACCCTGACTAAAGGCTGCTCACACTCCAAGACAGAGACAACCTTAATAAAGGGCTCAAAAGAGTAAAGCATAACAGTGAAAGAAATTTGCCAATTAGAATTACCAGTATATGTATAATTTAATAATCAACAAAGCATCCTATTTGATGGCTTACAAATATCTAGTTTTAGATGTTGAAGATCCCACAGTACTCTCTAGTTGTGGATAAATTTGCAATACTTGCTTTTCATATATTTTGTCAGTTTGGACTGGTACTACTAGGAACTCCAAAGAGCTTCTCTATTCCCACAAACTATAATGAAAACTGAATCATAACCAAGAAAAAAGCTACAGCAGCATTCATTTTAAAAAAGTAAACTATTCACAGATATTACCAGGTGAACAGATTTTGAGATGGCATTCATAATACTTTTAGAATTTGGATGGGCAGAATATTTTATTTTCAGATGCAGAAGATGCCAGCCTGACAGCCACTGGATCAGTTGCTTCCATAAGCAAAATCTGTACCAAAATGCATTGTCTTTATAGTGCCAGAATTGCTTCAGCCAATGCTTTCAGTATTTGCAGGTTATAATTCTTAATTCCATGGGCAGCAGAGATGTTTTTTAAGCAGAGCCATGTATGCTTTCCCACGCTACATCATCAGTATTTGACTATGTCAATCCAACACATGGTCTTAATAAGTCCTGAAGGCAGTTTGATAATCCAGGGAAACTAAGCAAATCTTCTACCAGGTGTGTATTTCTGTGATACAAGATACAGAGCTAGGAGGTGAAGTACTGTTAAAGTACCAGGCCTTTCATTCTGGACAGGCAAAATGGGCAGAAGACCACATTTTGATAAGCACTTACATGGAGATCATGAAAAGGAAAACAGCAATGAATACATCACAGGCCTGATGTAAGAACAGAATGTTTGTGTGTTGGCATTTAGTGCAGCTCATACTGAATTTGCAGAGGTTGATTCTACAGACTCTCCAGACCAACTTCTTCAAAGCACTTCTAATTGTATATAATTTTCAACAAGAATTATAACATCACACTAGAAGCAACTATCAGACAAAAGTCAGACATGTTCACACGCTGCCATGTGGTTTGTGAAATCAGTGACAACTGCAAGAACATCTTTATAAACTGGAAGGAATTTTTAAGCTTTTTGAAATTGTTGATGCACAGTGAGGGAAATGAAAATGTGTCCCAGGATTCTGTGGCAACCCATTTCTATTTGCATTGATGGATGAACCCCAGTGTGTCAAAACCAGTAAGAACCTTTACATCTGCTGAAGTGTCACCTTGATCTGCCTTACTATCAAAGTACTCACTGAGATTTTGCTGTCTAAGCTTTCATAGAATAAAGCTCTCAAGGAACTAGAATCTGAGAAGAAGTTTAGACTGTGGCCCTGATTACTTAAAAAAGCCATACTACTCATTTTTAAGCATGAGTTCTAAAAGGTTTGTTAAAATGGTGAAAGTCCTGCTGGTAGTAACCTTCATAATACCAAGATGTGTGTAGGGTTTCGTCAGCTTGGACACAGCTTAATCAGAAATGAGAACTGTCTTGACAGATAGGGCATCTGCCTTAAAACAAAAAAGCCAAAACCAAAATAAAAGCACATTCAAATTATAAAAAACAAAAAAAGAAGAAGAAGAAAAAAAAAGAGTAGACACTGTTGACAAATACTGCAGCTAATAAAAAAAATAACTTTGAATCAAGATGATGCAGCAATATAATAGAACAGTTATTGGATGTAGGAGCACACTCTTGCACTTTACACTTGGTAGGACATATTTGGTTCTTTGGAAGCTGTAGGAGAAAATAAGCTGAACAGAAAGTTTTCTGAAGACTTCAGGGTTTGTTTGCTTTCAGTCTAGAATAAACGTGAGAGGAGTTAAGAGCCTGAGAATCCAAGTCTGACAAGCTCGCAAGGTTTATGTTTCCAAAGATAGCTTTAACTTCTTCCTCTTCCTACTGTCATGTAATAATCCTAGAACAATGATATTATTGAGGTTAAGGGGGCAAACATCCAAGACTGATACCTTCTATGACTCAATAAAAGGCACATGCCGGCAGTCTTGAGCAGTTGAGCAACAGAGATTATTGAATCACCTAGAGCATAACAAAAAGTGCTTACTTATTTACAACCATTTAAAAGAGAAAGAGCTTGAGTTCCTGACAAAGCACTGAGACTGATATCTTCTTTACTGGAATCTTACTGCAAAGATCATGCAGCATTAACTCTGCCCTGTGACTCTATGCAGTGCAATGAAACCTTAGCCCACCGCTTTTTAAAAGTGTGTTTAGTATGGTGTATTTTAGGCTATTCTTCCCTGAAATAATTCCACATGTATCCAAAAATTTTCTAATCTTAATAGAAAAAAATTGAGGCAAACACCACTTTCACTCAAGTTACAAAAGAACTATAAAACTTGGTGTTTTTTTCTAGTCTTGAAATAGCCCAAAATTGCTTGTGCTATTGCCTCAGGAAGTTGCCTCAATCTTCAGAGTTGCCTCAATCTTCAGATTAAACATTAAAAAAAAAGTTAAACAAAATGAGAAAATAGAGAGGGATGACCACCCACTAACAATACCCAAGGACGCTGAGCAGACTGTGGGAGTAAAAGGGCAGACAGTGCTGCACATGAAGACAAAGGGTCAGGCAGCATAAAATCTGCGTTCTCCATAAAGTTTTCTCAGCATTCTCAGTCCACATTCATCCCACTTCCAGAGGACATGGTGACATTCAGGGTAGCAGGTTAAAGCCCTGTGTTTAGTCAGGCTTCAGAAACCCTATAATGTTTTCAAGTACAAAAGAAGGACTGGGCTTGCTGACTGACATTTTCACACAGGTTTTTCTCCCAGAGAAAAGAAAACTGATGTCTTTTTTTCCTAAATGTCAGCTGACACCAAAATATGATGAGTTACTGAGTTTAATGAAAAACCTCTCACATTGGGCACAATGGAAAATTTATATTAGGTGAAAGTGTTTCTCCCCATACGAACTTGCAGCTACTTGTGCTAAACCAAACAGGTGCAGGGGTATTTTAAATAGTTAAGATTTTCTGAGGCTAAAAGCAAGACTTTTGGATTTGCGTAAACTTATTTAAAGCTGCAATTCAGAGAATTAACAGTAAGAGAAATCGACATTCCATTGCTATGGCAGCCTAATGCCTTTTTTTTCCTTTACAAAAGACTTTGTGACTTTTCTGCTAGAAAAAGGTTTACATTACAGGAAGGTAAGAATCGCTCTAGCCAATCACAGCACAGTGGTGTCAGTAACAAAGAAGTTATCAGCCTTTAAAAAGTTGCCCACAGAACTGGTTATAAGAAACATTCCTCCACTTAAGAAGGAACCTCTCAGATTTAAGAATTCTGATTACGCTTGTTAATAAAAGTTGCTAAACCACTGGAACATGAAGCTTGATCATCACGCCCAGCCTGCCACTGTTGCAAGTAAACCTACCGATGTTGCAGGCCAAGAAACGCTTCCCAGTGCTCTAAGAAAATTAAGGCTTATTTTAAAATACTGGCTAACACCAGAAAAAGTAGGGAGGAAGGGATGTTAAGGGCATATAAAGCAACTCAGACCCTTGACTTTTCACTCAGTTATTTACTAAAGAAAAAAACTTCACATACTGAGGATATAACGCTGATCTGAAAAGGAATAAGAAGCTGCTCAACCAATGATTAAGGAGCTTTGCAAACACTTAAAAAGGTGATGAAATTCATGCTCCACTAAACTTCTGACCATTGACTTGAACTACAGTCTCTCACACTGTAAGAGACCTAGCTGGGTGATCATTCTGAGATGTCTTCTGAGTTTGCCCTCCTAAGCTGTTCCACTTGAGGACAGCAAAGTACCCAGTCATAAGCTGGTCAGTGGAACCCAAGTTCCAATCTTTTATTTGAAGTCTATCTTTCAAATGAGGAATGACGGGTTTTTCTCCTGAAAGGAAAAGTACACTTTGACAGAAAAAAAAAAGAAAAAAAAACAAACAAAAAACCCTAAAAACAAAACACCAAATCAAACCAACAAACAACAGACTCGTCAGGTATCTCAGTTTCTTCCCACAGCAGAATAGGAGAGTGGAGAATTTCTTTGGTAGGAGACTGGACAGAGCTGGTAACAATGGGTTTTGATAGAAAATAAGAAAGAAAGATTAATTTAACAGCATTGAGCATTCGAATGACAGATTCAAACAGTTGTAGGCGCTTATGGGAGAAAGTATTTTCATATTAGACTCTAAAATCTACAGAGGCTCTTTTTAAATTTATTTTTGTGTTCCTACCCAGGGGTTTGTATCATCAAATAGCTACAACAAGGACTATTACGTTGCTTAATGTCAGCTTTAAGTGGACAAACATTATCCACATATAATTACCTCTCAAAGCAGCCAATATTCACAATATTATTTAAGTAGAGATATACACAAAATAATTATAAATCAAAAATTAATTTTATTCTTTAAGAAACTGAAAACATTTGCAGATACAACACTTCTATTTCCAACTTCATTTATTGCAGAAATTAAAAATAGGAAGCTAACTCTACCCTTGGATAGACTTCTCCCTTGCTGGCATACAAAAACTTAATTTACACTTCCTTGTGCCAGTATGAAAGGAACAATATGATCTATTCATACGCTTTAATGGGTTATAAATTAGTACATCCATTGAAGGAAAGAACCAGCTGTGGGTCTAATTGTAGACAGCACAATGAAACAGGAGGGGACAACACAAAGCATAAGTCTAAGTTATGAGATAGAAACTAACAATTAAAATATTTCACTCTATTGTACAGAAATGTAACAATTTCTCATCAAATACTTGTTTCAGTCTCAGATACAAGGCAACAATAGAATTTAGAGAACAATTTAAAAAATATATATATTGGACATACTATATAGAAAAGCAAAGACTTTCAAGCACTTCTGTTTACAGTTTTGCATAATACATAAGAAAGAGGAAATGCTTTTATTATTCAACACAGAATTAAGCTGTGAAAGTCAACGACCCACGACTTTGTTAAGCTTACAAGGACTCAGTACAAAACCAGGTATTTACACAGAAAAGGAAATATTTAATGCATTTACACTGGTCATTTATCGAAATCTGAAATGCCTTTGTCTTCAGACAATCTCTGTTTATATGAATTTAGAAGCCAACATCTGGTACATGCAGTCTATCACAAGACCTTCTGCCACTGCAGCTTTACTCTTTTTGCTGTGGCATCCTGTACAGGATCCTGGCTGGGGTTGGCAAGCACAGTAGACTGGTCTGTTGTATGCATTTGCCTGCATGTTACTAAACAAGTTTTTATTGACACAGATTAAAACAATCTTATTCTGACAGAAATACAGTACTGCTCTAGACTCTCCTTTTAGAGCTAGAAAATAAAAAACTGTTTGATTAACAGCAAGAAAACTAAATAAACAGGAACACTCATGCATACATTGGCCATATTAATAATTTCATTTTTGAAATCAGAAATAAGAGATATTTTCAGTTTATTTACCCTATTACCTTCTAAGTTATTTTCCCTATTATTGTGGTGCTACAATCAGGTAAACCAGGATTCTTCTGAACACAAACACATAAAAAAATTGTACTCTCTTTCCTCAAACTACTTCCAGTTTGAAGTTAAGATACAACAAATAAGTGAGACAAGCTTTCAGACGGTGAGAAAACCTGCAACAAGAAGGGGCAGCAGTATGCATATTAAAGACCTCTCTTTGAGCTCACCCTTTTCCCAGCCTCAGCCAGCTTTCTACTTCTCGGAGAAAAGCAGACCAAACATGCTAAGTCCTTCCACACCTGAGAGGGCAGGAGGATGCCTGGGATGCATAAAAAGGAAGAAGTCATAAAGAGAAGTAGACATTTGTGGTTTTTAGAAAGAAAAGGTTAAACAGGTGTAGTGTGATTTCTTACCTCCTTCCTTAAGAGATGAGATAGTTAAGAACACCAGTAAAAAGACCAAAGCTCTGAGAAACAGCTGAAGGTTGTGTTCCCTGAGCTCCCCAGGTGCTGAGGGGAGAGCAGAAACACTGAACATTAGAAGGAAGGGAGTAACAGAAATAACTAATTTTCATTCTTCAAAGGTTAAATCAGGAATAGAAATTAAAAAAGAATTTTTAAATGGATACCATGCTGAAAGATACAGCTAAAACTCTACTGGTATGGCTGACACACCTCATTTCATGCATATATTGATGGAAAAAAACTCACTACAAAACAGCAAAAAAAAAACCCAGCAAAACCAAAGCTGAAACCAACATATCTGTCTTGGAAACATCATAAGAATTCTGAATACTGAACATATAAGGAGGCTTTCCTAAGCCATGAGGCATTTCTTTACGACTCAAGCACCTTCTTGTCTAACTACAACTGTCTGTATTCTACTACAAATGCCTGAGGGGAAATTCAGATGCTAGAACGTCAAGTGCCTACACCCAGTCTAACATGTTCTCTATATCCAATGAACTTGAGTTGGTAGCTTGTCATAAACACTGCTTCAGCAGACAGGAACAGCAAACAGATTCCATTACCGAAAGAAGTCAGCCCTTTAAAAGCAAACACAGAAAGTGTAACTTACCACTTCTCAGACATAGCTGGCCCTCAGCAAAAAGCTTGTTGATCTAAAAATCAAAGAAATATCCTCTGTACCTCATGAGAAGGGAATGATGGAATTTTCAGGTCTATCAGTTGTAAATGCATAGAGACTGATTCCCACCTGGGATATCTCTTGGGAATATATCCATGAGATACTAAATTAAAACTGGTGTGGGTCAGTGCTGCCCAACAGGCCAGCAGCTACTGAGTGAGATTTCCCTGCCCGATCCATGATTTTCAGGAACTGAGTTTCTATTTAGAAAAATATCCTTTGTGTTCTTCTAGGAGGTTGACATTTTTTTCTGAATCATTCAGTCTAACTGGAGCCAGGATCCACACCCATCAGAGGCTTGCAAAACCCAGAAGACACCAGATATAATTTATCTAATAGGGGCCCTCAGATCCTACTTCCTGCAATTTTACATATTTTTTTAGTACTGAAAGAATGAAGGCACAGAAAGGTAAACAATAGCCTATGTAGCCAAACCAAATGGGATGTCTCCTAAGGTTCCTACCACTGGAATTCAGTAACAGATAAGCACATGATGCAAACACCAGGCTAATCAATCACAAATCTCTTTTTTTGCCTTTTAATCATCTCTGGATCAATTAGATCTACTACTCCCACATACCATGCCTTTGATTTAAATTTATTCTAAACCAGCAGTTTCAACACTGTTAACTGAACACTGCATTACCAAATGGAAAACACTGCCTTTCTTTATGCTTAATCTGCTGTTCTCATTACACTTTTGTCATTGTTTTGATCATTAACTGTATCACTAGAAGAGGCTTAATAATTATTCATTGCTTCTAGAAGCCTTAGTAGAAAATTCTTCCTTATTCCTCAGGTATACTGGAAAAAAATACAAATCTTTTTATACCATTACCTGTTGAAAGCTTTTAATATAAGAGATACTTGCAGTTTTAATGAAGCCTCCCAAAAAGCACTGCAACAAGTACAGCAGTGAGATTAACAACTTAATAGAGCAACTGGATGTTTAGGTTGATTGATCATAGCATGAGAACCCATTCATACTGGAAATCAGCCTCTTGCCAGAGCTCGTCTCTAACAAAATGCAACAAGAGATATGCTACTGTTTTGCAGAAAAACTCCCCAAAGCAAGATCTGTATTTACCATATTGTGCTCAAATTTAACACAGTTCCTCACTGCATCTGCTGGTAACTTATTAGACATTAAATACTTCTGGTGATTCGTATTATGCATTCAAGTATGAAAATATTCCTTCTGTCCCTTTATAAAAAGTTTTTAAATGTCAGGAAGACCTTTCTAAGCTTTTTTTTATATATAGGAAGTCAGGTATTTTAAAGTCTATTTTAATGTTGTGGTTGAAATGGGGTTTTTTGCACTTGTATGGGTATATTGGTAAAATGAAATTAGTGTAATAAATTGGGAATCTAAATCTTCTATTAGCAAACAAAGAGTAACTGTTTGACAGTACTGAGTTACATGCTTCCTCCACATTTACAAAACAATCATTGCTGCAGCAAAACTTGAATGTCTAACAATTTCATCCACAAAATGTTACACATAATATATTACATTTGAACTTACATCACCCATTGCCATTGAAATTGGCAGATACAGGTTCAAATTTGCAAGATCATGAATACCTATTTTCTTCAATTCTTTCCAGGTGAGACATCTTTGTGACTAGATATGAAAAAAAAAATATCAAAACCTTTCAGATATAAGAAAAGGAATAGACAGCAAAGGTCTGTTTGTTCACTACTACAAACAGGAACAGTATTTTATAGGAAGGTAAACTTAAGAGTCATGCCCAAAGTTTCAGAACCAATAAATCTGTAATGCAAGCAAAATGATCTTCATAAAGAGGAGAAAGTGTGTGAAATTATACATAAAAAATACACAAAAGACATAATATAAGTGATGTGAAATACAATGTGAAATAAGGCAAGATTGAAACACCAAGTTTCCAAGAAGGAAAAAGAGACAGATAACCAAGGGCACAAATAGGAAGCATGAATAATCCAGTAGTTCTGTGGAAAATACTCTGGCAATTCAGACTGTATAATTCAACAAGTGTGGGTAAAATGCAAATGGAGTTGTGAAATGTATTGAAAGAAGTGGGGTATATAGACCATGTAAGGTAGTTACCCTGTGGGTTTAGCACCAGGGTTATAATTTATTGGGTGGTACAATACATGAAAGACATGGCCTAGAAGACCTAAAAAGTGATGCACTTCTTTTCTTTAACCTATGAGAAATAAATCTTCAAATACATGTAAAAATGACAGTCAATTAACCCCAGTTAATACCAAAGACAAAAACTACAGTAACTTGTAATAGAGGATGAGAAAAGCACTCCTAAGGGTAAGGAAGTGCTGCAGGTCTTCCTCTCAAGAAAAGTTACTCAAAACACCTGTCAATAAAGTTACAGGTGTATTGCATTTTGTTTCAGTGCAAGGGTTGGGCTAGATGGCTTCTTGAGGTCTATTACGCAGAGTTAATATCACATTTTGAGAATTACTCTTCCCTTCAATGTCAGTTATGATGTTGTGTCAAGTGTATGAACCCATCCTCACATAGTCTTGTTAACAAGCTTCAAGAAATACTGACAAAATGATGTGATGCCATTCTTACCCCAGCACAAATCCAGAAATTGCATATATGCATCCATCAGAGCACAAATTTAGTCCATCACATCTCAATTTACTGCCTTCATGTATCCCATTTATCGAACTAATGACACGATGCACTCTCAACAGGAAATCCTTTGTTCTTATCCTGACACTGGATTCACTACGCCACCTTTTGTTCCACAGATCTGGAGAAGAGCTGGAAGCAAAGTACCTTGGTACCAATCCAGGACAGATGAAAGTCACGTTGACTGGTCTGAATAAGCATGCAAAAGGGGAGTTGTATGGCATATTCTGTGAATACATACATACTCAATATCTATTCTTAAGCATTATGGTCCCTGTGTTATCTGGGCTCTGCTTTTCTGAAATTGTCAGTTAACAGCCACCACAGAGAATTAACTAGGCTGGAAAAGACCTTTAGAAATGAAATGCCTCTTTGCTGCTCACTGTGATGCAGTCTTTTCCACACCATGACTGGCAGCTTTTAACCTCAAAGCTGTAACACTAGAATGTGTTATTAAATTATCATCAGATGTCAAGATCAAGTAAAACAAAAGACTAGTTTGTTAACACATAAAATAAAAAGGCCTGAATAACAAGTAGATGTTAAACAGAAGTCATATTTACACACCAAAGTAGGAACAATGCAAGCAGGAAAAAAAGATAAATTAATTCTAAATTATTTGAAAGCATAAACATGTTTAAAACTATTTCCAGATGTAACAGAGAAATCAAATTCCTTTTTTCTAGGCTCTCTTCAACCCTAAAGGCTTAAAGGGTGTCATGGTTTAAAGCCACAAAGCTTGTTCACTCACTCCCCCACCCTCCTCCTTCTTTCTTCCCCCCCCCCACCCCCGGCTCCCAGAGAGATGGAGAGGAGAGTCGAAAGAATGTAACTCCCACAGGCTGCGATAAGAACAGTCCAGTAACTAAGGTATAACACAAACCACTACTGCTACCACCAATAAGAGAAAAATAACAAGGAAAGAGAATATGATACCACTCGCCAAAACGAGCCTGACCCCCAAAAGCGCCCCTGCTCTTCCAGGTAACTCCCAGTTACTTCCCTGGGCATGATGTGCTGTGATATGGAATACCTCTTTGGCTAGCTTATGTCAGGTGTCCTGTCTCTGCTTCCTCCAGGCCTCCCCTCTTCCCTGGCAGAGCATGAGACTCACAAAGTCCTTGGTCAGAGTAAACATGACTTAGCAACAACTAAAAACACCAGTGTCACCAGCGCTGTTCCCAAGCTGAAAGTCAAAACACAATGCTACACCAGCTACTAAGAAGGAGAAAAACTGACTGCTCCTGCTAAACCCAGGACAAAGGGTCATGTTAATTCCTTCCATACAAAATTGGTTTATTTCAGCAAATATTGCTGTTTGCTTTTGTAAATACTCTCCCTATGCTGTTTAGGTGATGCAGATGGGCTTAGATGAGGTCTGAATGTCATATTTTACACTATTCTGAAAATGTTTTTTCCAGCATGTATTCTTGCTATAGGATGTCAAATATCCACATAGAAAATTACAAACTCGAACTTTATAGGACCAAAAAGAGTCTGAAAGTATATTTAATAGTCCCGAATGCAGTCAAGGTTTATAGAACAGCACTTTCCTGTACTAGCCACCTAAACCTACACATACTGCGTAATTTCAAGAGTTAGTTTTAGCACTAGCCCAAGAACATAATGAGGTCCAATGACATTTTCTTTCCTGGTATGTCTTCCCCTATCTCTGAACAGGTATAGTGATGGGTTTAGACCACTGTACAGAGGAACACACATTTAGGAACATTTAACAGACTACCATCCTCCACTGTTTTTTTAAACAAACATCTGGCAGGATAAAAAAAAAAAAACAGCAGAAATCTCATAAGATGCTCTAAATGAATGAGTGTAATATACTGATGATAAGAAAATGGCATATATTACAAATATGGAAACTAAATTTTGTTATCTCTTGGAATTGGAGTTCTCACTACAGCTGTGCCAACTACTGCCATCTCCTGTGGCTGACAACCAGACTTCCACTGACATCAGGTAGTGGCCTTTTTTGTACTAAGGGCTAAAGAAATAGTGTAATTCTTTTGACTGTTGTACTACAACACAAAGCTACATCATACAACCTAATGCCTCTTGCACTAAAATTAATAATAATCATGCTTTTCCTGCAAGCAGGCCTACGACCAAATTATCTTATTAAGAAGGAAGCAATAAAATTTCAAATTAGATCACCTTTATCAAAGCCAATTTTCAAAGCAGTACAGTTGAGTTTTGTCAAAACACTGTAAC